GAGTGCCGGCGCCGCAGGTGGAGGATTAGCCAAGTGAGCCACGGTGATGGCCAGCTCATCTGTTCTTAAAGATCCTTGTGATCATTGTGGGCTCACTGGGATCATTCACAACCATCTTCCTATTTTAAGATCACTTGGATAGCAACGTTAACTCCATCCATAAAGTCCCCTTTGCAATGGAAGGTCACAGAGTCACAGGTGTGACACCGGAAGCAAAAATCCGTGGGGCCCACATCCTGCCTCCCTCGTTACATTTTCTTATTTTGTTTATTGGTTGCATCCCTTGTGTCGAATGTGTGAGGGTAACTGTCTCTGTTGGTGTGAGATCCCAACATTTAGAACCCTGCCTGGTACATGGTGCACATTCAAAAATGTGTGGAATGAAAGAACGGATGGGTGAATGAGCACAGTCTTGGGAAATCAACCTCCCCCAGCCCCTTAAAAGCCGCCCTTGGCTTTCATTCTTCCCTGATTGTGCCATGGTGTGGTTTTCCACGTGTCCCTGCGATGGCCCCGCCAGCTGAGGGGATTGGTAGGACTCTACGTATTGTTTCCATCTCGGTTGACACAGAAACACATCCAGGACACGGGGTAGAGAGGAGATCAGAGTGGAGAAGGCTCAAGCCCAGTGCACACGAGGGAGCCTCGTGCCCTACACAGTCCGGCTCAGTGTCCAGTGGTTTTCTGGGAACAAAAATCTTCAGGGATGGTAAAACTCCTCATGGAAATACGTCAAGCATTATTTTGCTCCGTGAAAAAAAAAATAACTGGAGACTTCAGCTGCACATGTCGATAACCTAAAGAACAAATTTCAAGAACATTGCTTAATATTTTATAGATGGCCTAAATCCCAGGATCCTGAAAATCTAAGCGTGTACAAAACTTGAAACACACACAAGTAACAGATTTGCTATTTGGGTTACAGTCTGGAAAAAGATCTCTGGAAACAGATTTATGTCTTCGTTTTTCACTTTGCCACCAGATGTCCTGCATGAGTAGGAAACTATGATGGCTCGATGATATTTTGAAGTGTGAATGCCCAGCATTTTTGAATAGACAGGGAAAGGGGGGTGTGAGTGAATGAAAATATTACCACAGTCTTCTGGATGAGACACGGAGTTTGAAGCCTGCGTTACAGGTGTAGCTTTCTGAAGCAGTATTCATTTAACTCTGATGTTCATTTCTCACACTCTGTGAATGTTTACTTAACATACTTCCTTTTCCCTCTACTCCAAATGAATAGTTCTAAAATTTGAGCAAATCATTTTCAAATGAATGTTGAAAAAAATACTCCTGTCTTCATGACAGTCATAAACATGTAGTGTTTTGAGGGGAGCTTCCCAAGGACTCAGGAAGCCAGTCCCCAGGTTTCTAAACATCACAGCCACATAGTTTATCAGACTTTTATGCTCATTCCAAAAGCAGTGACTGACATGTTCAGGAGAGGCTGGTGAACAGGGCCAAGGCATGATTTAATGTAAAGTGAAAGACCACAGTTGCTTTTATGGCTGATATCAGAGTTCACAGGAAAGTCTAGGGTGTAGAATATTTAATACCCTAATAAACAGCACCTTTTCCATCTTTGCAGAATGGAAATGATGTGGTCAGGAGCCATGGGTAACACAGCCCCGATAACATTCAAGCAACAAGGGCACTTGAACTTTTCAAGAATCTGCCGTGTGAATGACACAGTGCTTTAAAAGCCACGTGGGCGCAGGATTCCCTGAAGGCGTGGGGGTAAACCTGTGTGTTACGGGGAGGGTCCCTCACTTCATGGGCCAAGCAACCCGTTTCCTGAAACTGCAGGCCATCTGCACGAAATGTCAGCCAATTGGCCAGATGTTCGCCACAGACTGGCTCGCACATCTGGCCTCTCGACTGAATTCCTCCTCTTTCCCCCAGATGGGACCAGAGGAAGGAGTGAGGTAATATTCTCACGTCCTGCAGGGGGCGAAGTTACTTCTGATTCCCTCAGATTGGTTCACAGCTGCCCACAGGCTCCAAAGCCACACCTGCTACGCTCCCTCCACCGCCAGCATCAGGACCTCAGGCTTCCGCGGAGCCGTGGCGTGTCTGGCAGGGAGGGGTCACAGAAGCAGGAGGCCGAGTTCCAAATGGCCCGGAGAAGCCCTGGTACCCATTTCGAGGCTGTTAAACGCTTTCCCCATGCCCTTGGTCCCGAATGGATGCACGGGCTTGCCTGCGTGTTTTCTGGCACCCGTGATGTGCACAGGTTGGGAGTACCTGCCGGGCATACAGGAAGAACCCACGTTGAATGTTCCTGTCCCTAGGAGCGTGTCGTATCTGACCCTACCCCTCTCTCAGGCTCCTCTGCCCTTGCGGCCATCACCACTGGACTGTCCTTTTTCCTAGCACTGTCCAACCAGGAAGCCATCACAGAGTGGACCCAGAGAAGCTGTTCAGACGTTCAGTTGTCCCTGAATGGCTCAATGCCATCTTAGACCATGTCATACAGGTCTGTCTACTTCCAAGCAGTTATCTATGAAAAGGAAAGGGCATGAGTGTGTGTAAGTGTGTCGTCCATCAGAACCATCCCAGACATGCTAACAACATACATGGTCACAGCTTGATTTTGTGTTTTAGTGGCATAGCCCTCCCAAGGTGACTTGTCTATGCTGAAGGTTTGGATGGTTTTCCAGGGTTTTCTTCATTGCCCTAGTAGGTTGGGGCTTCTTATTTAAAGTTTTATTTATTTATTTATTTTTAAAGATTGATTTATTTATTTGAGAGGCATAGTTACAGGCAGAGGGAGAGAAAGAAAGATCTTTGATCCACTGGTTTTCTCCCCAAGTGGCCACAACAGCTGGAGCTATGACAATCCAAAGCCAGGAGGCAGGAGCTTCTTCCAGGTCTCCCATGTGAGTGCAGTGGCCTAAGCACTTGGGCCATTTTCCACTGCTTTCTCAGGCCATTAGCAGAGAGCTGGATCAGAAGAGGAGCAGCCAGGACTAGAACTGGCACCCACATGGGATGCCAGTGCCACAGGCTGCGGCTTTACTGGCTTTGCCATAGCGCTTGCCCCTGGTTGGGGCTTCTTTTATTATGTGCTGCTTGCCAGAAGTCTTTTATTTTAGTTTTCATTTATTTGAGAGGTAGATTTACAGACCGTGAGAGGGATAGACAGAGGGAAAAGTCTTCCATCCACTGGTTCACTCCCCAGTTGGCCACAACAGCCAGAGCTGAGCTGATCTGAAGCCAGGAGCCAGGGGCTTCTTCTGGGTCTCCCGTGTGGGTGCAGGGGCCCAAGCACTTGGGCCATCTTCTGCTTTCCTAGACCAAAACAGAGAGCTGGATTGGAAGAGGAGCAGCTGGGACTCCAACTAGTGCCCATTTGGGATGGCGGTGCTGCAGGTGGAGGATTAACCTACTGTGCCACAGCGCCAGCTGTGAAGTCTTATGAAGATGGTGTGAGTAGGTTTAGGAGAAGAGGAGGCCCTGGGCAGGGGCCCACATATACTTCCTTGGATTCCAGATCTGATGGGAGCTCTTGGCTGCGGTGAGCACCATCTCAAAGATTTTTTTTTTTCTTCCCCCACAGAACACGCCCTAGAATGGATGGGAGAAAGAAGCGATGAGGCTCTTGAATTCTAAGGGTCCATGCCTCCCAGGCCAAGTAGTGGTATATTTTCAGCTCTCACGAAAAAATCCCCTGTAGATAGTTCAAGGCTGGCCTTCAGCGATCGGAAGCTCTGTGAGCCTGCAACCAATACCTGTTGGGTGTCTGTAGATCTAAGAACTGTCCCAAATGGCTTCTGTGCCTGGGCCTAGCAGAACAATAGAGTCCACTGGGGTGGCTCTCTTCAACGTGAGACAGAGGTGCTTCTAAGATTTGGACCAGTGGACTGGCAGTGTGACATTATGGGTTAAGCTGCTGCCTGCAATGCCAGCATCCTATATAGATGCCAGTTCAAGTCCCAGCTGCTCCACTTCCGATCCAGCTTCCTGCTAATGTGCCTGGGAAAGTGTCGGAGAATGGCCCAAGTGCTTGGGACCCTGCAGTCATGTGGGAGATCTGGATGGGACTCCTGGCTTCTGGATTTGACCTGGCCCATCCCTGGCCATGGCCACCATTTGGGGAGTGAACCAGTGGACAGACATCTCTTTCTCTCCCTCCATCTCTCCCCGTAAAAAAAAAAAAAAAAAAAAAAAAAAAAAAAAAAGGAAAAAAATTAGACCAGCAAAAACCCCATGATCTCATAAACCTGTGAATTGCATAATTTTATCTCTGTTTGGTCTCACTTGCCAATGCTTTGGACCATGTGAGCTTGGTCGAGGGAGCAAATTACAATTTCTCTTTCTGGCCCGCACACCTGTAGGCAGGTGAAAAACCCGAGCTTAATGGGAGTTCGCTTCCGGGATCCATAGGTGACTGGGCACTGGAGACTGCGGAGGCAAATGCATTTGCAGCGGTATTTGTAACACCTCGTCTGACGATGACAGCCGGCTGCGTCTGAGGGCCCTGCCTTTCTCTCAGATGACGGGATCACGTCCTCTTTTTTGGGTGCTCGCTTTAAGAAGCCAAACCAAAGCCCGGATGAAGACATAACTCCAAGTATTCCACCTGAAACCTCCTGGACACTGAGCTGCCTTGTGCGGGGCTCACCCTGAGGGAGCGTCCCAGAAAACTATCATTTTTCCTTCCCTGGCTTAATCCAGGCGCTACTGATTTGATACCCGTTTTGGCTTTTATTTAGTTAAAGCATCAACTTGGGCCTCCTAAGTGACCAGCAGGTTCAGCCTCGGGAGCTGGCCTCCTAGCAACGACCTTTTCGCCTTCGGAGCCTCGCTCCTCCCCCGTGCCTACTAGAATTTCTCCGCGAAGGAAACCCACGCGCGGCGGCGGCCACGCCTCTCGGCTGAGGGAGGGTGGAAGAAGGGGCGGGCCTATTCAAATAGCCCGCGGGAGTCGCCTCTTCATTGGCTGCTGGCCTGTCGCTCACCCTGGAGGGCGGGGCGCGCTGGGGGACGAGTGCGGTACCTGAGCTAGCCGCGCCGCAGAAAGCCCACGTTGGCTGCAGCCGCGGGGAGCGCAGCGCCTAGAGGCGGGAGATCGCGAATTCCGGCGCCGACGCCGCGGCCGCCGCTCGGCGCACGGTCCCCCTTCCTCCCCATCCCCTCGGCCAGCCGGGCGAGCCCTGAACGGAAAGCAAGTCCTGGCCGCCTCCGCTTGGGGAGGCGCGCGGCGCTTTAGCAGGGGGAAGCTACAGTGCCCGAGGCGGAGAGGCGCGGAGTTAGCGAGGAGCAGGGAGAGTTCAGCGCGCCGAGGAGACTGGCACTTTGGGAGCCGGGTCGCCAGCGCCCGGGCCCTCCCGCAGCGGGGGTCAGCTCCACCGGGGCTCGGAGAGCCGGGGCGCGGCGTGCGCGGGGATGCTGCCCGTCGTCGCCCCCCGCTCGTGATCCGCCCGCGTGCCCCTCCGCAGCCCGTAGGGGCGCAGGGCAGCCCCCGTGCGCCCGCAGCGAGCCTCCGTGCCCGCGACCCGGCCGGGGCCAGGCGCCCGCTGCAGCGCAGCCAGGACACGGACGCACCTGGCCTGGACCGTGCGCCCCCGGAGACCGGCGAGGGAGTGCGGCCGTCCCGGCGCCCTCCGCTCCCGCCTACCCTCCAGCCTTGGGCAAAGGGGCGCCCCGGATGACCATGAGAGATAAGGACTGAGGGCCAGGAAGGGGAAGCGAGCCCGCCGAGAGGTGGCGGGGGCTGCTCACGCCAAGGGCCACCGCGGCCGCGCTCCGGCCTCGCTCCGCCGCTCCACGCCTCGCGGGGCCCGCGGGGGCAGCCCGGCCGGGCGGGGATGCCGGGGCTGGGGCGGAGGGCGCAGTGGCTGTGCTGGTGGTGGGGGCTGCTGTGCAGCTGCTGCGGGCCCCCGCCGCTACGGCCGCTCCCGCCCGCCACGGCCGCCGCCGCCGCCGCCGCCGCCGGGGGCCAGCTGCTGGGGGGCCGCGCAGAGCCGCCGCCGCCACAGTCCTCCTCCGGCTTCCTCTACCGGCGGCTCAAGACGCACGAGAAGCGGGAGATGCAGAAGGAGATCCTGTCGGTGCTGGGACTCCCCCACCGGCCCAGGCCCCTGCACGGCCTCCAGCAGCCGCAGCCCCCCGCGCTCCCGCAGCCGCCTGGCGGGGAGCCCCCTCCCGGGAGACTGAAGTCCGCACCCCTGTTTATGCTGGATCTGTACAACGCCCTGTCCGCCGCCGACGACGAGGACGGGCCGTCGGATGCGGGGAGGCGGCAGCCAGGGCCCCGCGGAGGGGCCAGCTCGTCGCAGCCCGGGCAGTCGCTCCCCAGCGCCGCGCACCATCTCAGCCGCAAGAGCCTGCTGGCCACGGGACCGGGAGGCGGCGCGTCCCCACTGACCAGCGCGCAGGACAGCGCCTTCCTCAATGACGCCGACATGGTCATGAGCTTTGTGAACCTGGGTAAGGATCTTGGAGAACCCAACCACGAGAGTGGGTGTCCCGGGCCCAGGGGTGGGGTGCGAGGCGGTGGAAGAGGCCGCGGCACGCGGGTCCAGCCTGGGCGCGGCGGGGACCGGCGGGCTGCGCTGCCGCCACCTGCGCGGCGGTGGGCGGTCGTGCGCTGCTGGCGCCGCGCCCAGGCTGCGCTCGGCGGCCGCGAGAGACGCGCGGGGCTCCAGGCTCGGGAAGCGCTGCCCCCGACGGACGTGTCCTTGCGGGCACCCCTCTCCTTTGCCCAGCTCGGTCGCGCCCAAGCGTGGCGACCCGGGGAAGGAGAGGGCTCCCCGACACACTTTCCCCTCCCAGCTGCCACTCTGGGTTCCCCACACGCTCCTAGTGCCGCGTTCCCCATTGCGACTTCCAGGCAGCCCGCCGGCAGTGGAGAACCTTGCAAACCTGCCGTGGGTCGGGGGGCTGTGGCTGCAGAGAGACCTCTCTCCTCCTCCCGGCCGCGAGGCCCGCGGCGGGCGCGCCAGCTCCAGCCGGGCGCAGCTTGCCCTCGCTTGGGGTCGGGTCTCCGCCCGCCTGGAGTAATCCGCCCTGTGCCCTCGCTCACATGCCCCCGGCCATTGTCCCCGAAGGCTGAGCCCCTGATCCGTGCTGCGCACGCTGCGCGGGGTAGGGGCCGGGGCCGGTGCTGGGCTCCGCCGAGCCGGTTGCCAGGCAACGGAGTGGCCACTCCAGGGCAGCTACATCGGGCTCGGCCATCACGTCCTGCGGCCAACCGCGACCGAGTCCCGTCGCTTTCGCCCTGAAGTTTTCTTCTGTGTCAGTGAGAAGGGTGTGCGGGAGACTCTTGGGCTGTGTGCTGCTGTGGCTTCCCAGCGGACTCAGGCCGTGGGATGGGAGAGGCGTCCTCGGCGGGCAGAGCTGGGGTGCGGTGGCCACGCCCGGGGCGTTGGGGGAGAGGGAGGCTTGGTCTGCGCCTGCTTCTGTGCCGGTGAGACGCGTGGCCCCGAGCGGGGCCCGGAGCAGATCTCCCAGCTAGGTCCAACCCGACTGCCAATGACCAGCGTACATTCCTCGAGCGACACCCGTGGAAAACAGCTGGGTGACTTCTTTGCAAGTGCATCTGTGCTTTCTCTATTCCACGGGGCTTTTGGATGGGACAGGGGGTCGGAGAGCACGAGGGGGCAGGAGCCAAGGGGCCAGGTGTGTGGGAAGGGGCCGGAGGATTGGCGTCCAAGTGGTGCAGAAACCCTCCTGGGAAACCCATGAAACAGAACCCCACAGAGAAGGGAGCTCCCGGGCCTGCCAGGCTGGCTGCTGGTGCTGCCAGGGGTTCCGAATGGACAGGAATCTTCACAGTTTATTGGAAGCAAACTCCAAGGCGGAGCCACCTCCAGGAAGCATGTAAGGAAACTCATGCCAGTCAATGGAATGTGTAGGGGGCAGAGGACCTGAGCTCTTCCTAACTCTCATTTCTCTGACTTTAATATGTCCCACCGCTTGCTGTCTCCCCTCCCCCAAGTCTCCCAGTTGCTTTGGGGAAATCAGAATCTGAGTAAAGTGGAGGCATGTGAGCAGTGGGGTCCTGGGGGAGGACCATGGCTCTCAGCCTTGGCTGCCGTTCACGTCAGCTGGGGTTCAGGAAGACTAAGAGCTGATCGGACAGCTCCTGGGGCAACCCAGACTCTGAGCAGGTGCATCCGTATCTTTGAGGGAGGAGGCTCAGGTATTTGAGAAGGTGCCGTAGATTTTTTTTTTCCTAATGGTCACCCATGGTCAGGAACCTCTGGCACACCCGGAAGATCTTGATGCTTGAAGGAAATCAGTGCATCATCCCATAAAGAGATCATCAGTGCTTCTCAACGTTGCTCTTCCACAGGTCCCGATGTCCACCTGCCTCCCATGCTCAGTTCAGACACAGTGTGTGCGGGTGGTGGCCAGGAATCCGGGTTATTCTAAAGATTCCCCAAGTGGTTCTCGTATTTGGGAAGCACTGCCTTGGGTGGCATTTGAAATTTCCAGAGCTGGCTTGAGGCAGGTGTGTCGACCGTGGTGGCATTTGCTGTGTTTCATGCCCTCCAGGTTCTCCTGGTCACCTGCTTTGCCGACCTTTGCCGGTCCTGTAGGTACAAATTGCCTCTGAGTCCCTGTGCTCAAACTTGGTTGTCAACTAATCCTGCCTCGATGATGACTTAGTGTGGCGTCTCCTGGTTTCTCAGGATTTTTGGAGCTCTAGAAAATTTGAAGACAACTTATCAGTGGTGTCATTTCAGGCCCAGGGAACTCTCCACTCCAAACCCCTCATGTCCCATCACTGGGCCTTCTGACTGTCCCTCTCCTGTGGGTCCAAACCTGGACTCCACATGGGTGATTAAAGGGGAGAACCTTTATAGGTGAGTAGGATCCAAGCAGCAAGCCATTCCACCTGCCAATGAAGCAGGTATCTTTAATCTTAATCCATTGAGCAGTAGCCTGGAGGATTTCACAGGAGCTGGCTAAAATGTGATAAAATCTGATTACCATGGGTGCTAGCATGAGAAAGACACTTCAATTGAAGAAAATGATTGCTTAGCAATGTAGACTCTCTGAATAAGATGCTGGGAGAATGCCACAGATTTCCTAATTGGTGTCAAGGTCATGTTAGCTGCTGAATTATGTGACTCATTGGTTGGAGAACCTTTGGAAAGATCAATGCTCTGTGCTCTTCTACCTACTAGGTCAGGCTAAGTTGTACAGTGGAAGTATAAGGGAAAGTGTGACATAATTGTAAACATTGTCTTCCCTCCAACTGGGGGAATAACTTACTCATGAAATACGTTTAAAACAGCCTGAGCCTTGTCAGCCAGCAGGACTATCAGGAAGTATGAATCAACAGGATGAGTTTCTGTCTCCCAGCTCAGTCGCTGGGACATCCGACCAGCTCATTGTCGTCCATGTTGACAGTTTTAAACTCTCTCTGGGTGGACAGACTGGGAGGTGTCGCCTTCTATGCTCCGGCCGGCCGGGGCGGCTGCTTGATGCATGCAGTGCCCAGCTGAGCTCGTGCCCTTGCATTCAAGCAGGGCCACAGAGGCCGTTTTTTCTATTTGTTTTCTAAAGCTAAAAATGTCTTGGCAGCCCAGTCGTCCAGCCTGCCAAACTGGTGACCTTGGGAAAGTATCCTGAAATGGCCCCCAGGTCTTACAGCCTAGGTCCCCAGACACCTGCTCTGCGGTTCTCCCCAAGCTCGGACTGCTGTGTCTCCCGCCTGCACTCTCTCCATCCCCACAGCACCTGTTGGCTTCCTCCCGAGTGCTCCACACACCAAGTGGTCCTCTCTTATTTTGCCAGTCTGGAAGACCTGATTATTTTGTGTGACGGGAAGATATTGGTGATTAAGGCTCATGGTTTTTAGGTGTCCGTCACAATGTTTTTTGTGAGTTATCTATGTGTCTATTAATTTGTAACATGCGTTGCATTGGAGAGCAGTAAACATGTTCCTTTGAATCTCTGCATTTCAGACTTCACTTATTTTGAATGAATGAGGTGTTGATCTGCAGATGCTAGAATTGCGTGAAATAAAACGCTCCAATTATGCTCGGAAAAGGGGGTCAGTGTATATCAGTTCAAGTAACAAGAAATTTACTGTACTGAAAATACTGGGAATATCAACTCATGGGAAACATAAATTAGAAGAAAAAACGGACTACTCGCTACTTGTATTTGTAACCAGATACGCCACACTGTCTTTTCCTCGTAAGCACAGGATCGGTAGTTCTATTTTTCATCTAAGCTGCCTGGACTTGGGAAGATCTTTGTTAGCAGAGAATGCATCCCTGGCCTGCAAGCTACTCACAGCAGAAACACTTGGGAGAATTCGGTTGGAAGAGCGTGGTGCGAGGAAGCAGGGGGTGTTCCCCTGAGAGGTATCCAGGAGCCAATGTGAAATTCAGTGGTATTTCAACAAGAAAGTTGTACACAGTGTTCCTAGCGGAAGATCGAAGGGCAAGGAGATAACCATTGTTTAAACCTCAGATGGTGCTTCCTTTGCCTGCCCTTCTAAGAACGGGTGTAAATGCATCTCAAATGTGCTGAGTCACGGTTAGTGCCTCTGCTTAGGAGCTCACCACTGACTAACTTGGAGGAGGGTGTGCCAGGGAAAGTGAAAAGAGACAACAAACAAAACAAAACAATTCTTTTCTTTATTCAGCATTTTTACCTCACATCCTGTGGCTCCTTCAGCATTCAAGTTAAGATTCCAAACTTGGTGGAAAAATGGAATTGAAAGATAAGTTTGCTTTGTTGCATATTTTTTTAAAGAAAAACCTGTGGATTTTTTTTTCTTCTTAAGCATTTTTTCAGACTTTTGGAAGTCCCAGCCCATGAGTGGGGGATCTTTAAGGTGATATGACGCTGTCGCGTCACCCCTGTGTATTTTAAGAAGCTGAGCTGGAGAGGAAAAATGAAGTGGGTACAATTTCTTGGATAACTAGTCAACGTGTTGTAACTTTTTCACATATCAGTCTTCCACTGTCTGCTTCCCATCCTGTGTTGAAAAATGAATTTTTCTAGGCGATGCTTAAGTTTATTATGGAGTTTGCAAAGTCGCAGTTTGGAGCTTTATTCTGTTTATCTTCCTCTCTTCTGAATTTGACCAGTTCACTGTCTTTGGCACTTCCAGCCTTGAAAAGAAAAGTAGGAAATCTTTTAAGCAGATAATCATGTGTCTGATTAGAAGCTTCCAGAAGTATCTGAGTAATAGGAGGAGAAGTCAACTGAGAAACTCCCTAAGCTGTAAACAGACAACTTACAAAGGGCCTGGGCCTGTAAACAGCTGGTGCACATTAACCAGCCTGCCCCACCCTCCAAGGCGCTGCACCACCCAACCACGTGCCTGGCCGCAGGGCTGCCCAGCTGCAGGGTGTCCCCCGGGGGCTGGCGCCATGCTTCTCGGGCTCCGCACAAGAACATTCTGTTGTCCTTGTTTCTCTTCTCATCATCCCCATCAGTAGCCTCCCTCCCATCTCGCCAAC